AATTGAAATAATAATAATAATATGTTATTGTATACTTGTATGTGTTTACGTTAATTGAAAATATACATTTCAATGATCAACTGTGTCAAATATATAAACTAGAAATTAAAAATTTGTCTTTGACAAATAATTGACATATCAAACATTTTCTATACACTAGCCTGATATGAATTGACAAAAATAGCAACTGATGGTGTATCTTTCGTCCTCGTTTTACTAATTATATTTGCATAAGAAGAAAGAAGGCAACCATATGATTTACAGTAATTATTTCAATTTAACTCCGTATGTATATATAAGGGGGAAAGGGATTGTCAGTAATGGAGACTGAGAATCCCATTGCTAGCAATATATCCAACCAGGTCGACCTCCTCGCGGTTCTCCCTGGAAACTATCATGGTTAATTCCTGATGAATTCATCATGATGGGCTAACTGGCCTGTTTTCATTCTCATCTATCACCCTTCACTGGTGCTCCGCCAGCGTATTCCGTTAGCGCAGGCGGGATTACCATACCATTTTCACCCATCAAAAAAAAAACTCCGTATGTATAAACTATAAATTTTAATACAGTTCTTTAAGCAGTTTTTGTTGGTTACTTGTTAATCAGAAAATAGAGATTAGAACAGACCTGTGTTGTTAATAATTTCAATTTATAAGACTTTAAGAAGAAAATTTTCCATTCGCAATTTTATGTAAATACTTATATATACGTACCTATGCTAAACGACCCTTTGGCATATTTTAAACAGTTTCTAATAATATTTTTTTGCAATGGATTGTTTTCAACTCGTATTGGTTCCACTTTAATTGTGTTACGACATAAGTTTTATTTTTCTGAGCAAAATCTTAAAAAAAATTAGTGTCCATCAAACCGTCTTCGAAAAGAAGGAGGTTCTCGACTTGATAGAATCTATTTTTTTTTATATTTGGTTACTTCATAACTTCATCAGTCGTGAATCGATTTGGAATTTTTTTTTATCTGAAAGGATATACTTACAGATTGGTCCCATAAAAACTTCATGCAAGTGGTTTCAGTAGTTAAATTTTCAAATAAAGTTTTTGGATGATTAATTTGTAACACAATGTACATTATTTTTTAATAAATGACTAATGACTAATCAATGTAACTGGTTGTGCCACAACTGAAGTTGGTTTTGTTTTGTGGAACACAATATTATTTATTTTTATAATTAACTTGTTTATTTAAACTAATAACTATCTAATCATTTTAATAACATGAACAATAAATTTGTAAGTTATTTAAGCTCGGAATACCCAGCATTTAAGCATGCTAATTAGTTACCAGATATACGCCTATTAGCGAATGATAAAGTAAACAGAATCATAAAATATAGATGAAAAATTATATATATTTTTATATTATTTATGGGTGATAATGGAATGGTAACCTCGCTTGCGCTAACGGTATATAATGGCGGGGCACTAGTGAGGGATGATAGGTGAGAATGAAAAGGCAGATCAATTAGTGTATAGTGATGAATATACGTAGAATTCAGCACGATGGTTTAGAGGGGGAACCATGTGGAGGTCGACCTCACAGGGTATATTCCTAGCAATGAGACTGGTAGCAGCATTAGTAACAATAATCGAAAGTGTTTCTCTCATATTTGTATAACTTTTTTTTATACAATTTAGAATAGCAAACAAGCTGACGGCCCACCTGATGGAAAGTGGTAACCGTCGCCTATACACATGAGCAGTACCTTGGACATAACAGAGTATACTGTTTCGCCCATGATACCCCCATGCGTTGCCATTCCTGAGGACTCAGGTGTTATTCCTCTGTACCCAGTAAATTCACGCCATATCCCACCTTTCAATTTACTGATATTTTAATCCACTATACTGTAATAATCAGTATACTGATTATTACAGTATAGTATATTAAAATATCAGTTGAAGAAAATTGTTTTTTTTTAATTCCGTTACCAATAGTATTCGTACGACTGACTCAGTCAAAGATCGACTACTATTAACCAATACTTACTACTAGTTACCACTTTCCATCAGGTGGGCCGTCAGCTTGTTTGCCATTCTAAGTTCTATATATATATATATATATATATATATATATATATATATATATAAATCAACTATTTCTGTCAAAAATTTGCTTAATCAAATAACGATTTCCGATCGCAACATAAAATTTGCTATTTTTTCAATACATAATCACCAGCGAATTATGGCAAACCAATTAACGGATATATAATATGTCTGTTAGCGAACGACGAAGTAAACAAAACCGTAAAACATGGTGTAAATCACGAGCGGCGCCATTTCCGTGAGTTTTCCATAGAAACGGCATTCTTTCATTTAGAAACATATCTGATTGAGATACAAATCAGTTATGAGCCCTCGCGTGTGAAGTCCCAATATATATAGTGGTTAATTTGTCTCATTTATAACTTGAGTTTACTGTTAATGTACTTAATTAAAGTAAAAAATAAGTTTGTTATCGATATAAATCGATGAAATTAATATAAACCAATAATAACCGTACTAAATATTAATTAGTCAATTAATATTATTTTTTATTATAGAATTAACTTATTTTTTTATGCCTCTTCTAAAAGGGCATTGACATTAGACAATCATCATCGTCATCATCATCATAACAGCCGTTGTCTGTCAATATAATAAAGAAAAAAATATGTGATTAAAAGAATAATATAAGGTCATTCTGAAGGCACTATTAAAAAAGGCTAAGATATTTTTTTTTATATTAAGTACATTTTATTTTTATGTATTTTATGTACGTTGTCCTAAATGGTAAGCACAGATTAAAATGTTACAAATGATCTCCTGTCCTTAAGAGGGGAGATGAGTATTTTTGTAAAATTTAAATAATAATAATAAACTATTGCGCACAATAGAGATGTATACAAGGAGTATTTATACAGAATGTGCATATACAAAAGGCGGTTTTATCGATAAAAGCAATCTCTTACAGACAATCTATACATGCATACATACATATACATATTTATAAATGTAATTTTCTTATTGCAAAATAGATAAAAGACTAGATAGAAAAACATTTAAAGACTTAATGCTAAATTACCATGTGGTCCCGGCATAGAATGGACCGCCTCTTCCTTTTCCTTTCATTTATACTAATATTATATAGAGGAAAGATTTGATTATTTATACCACCACTGAGGGATGATAGGTGAGAGTGAAAACATGTGTTCACATGGGGACAGATTAACCGCAATGGTTTCCAGGGGGAACCGTGTGAAGCTGGACCTGATAGGGTTGTATTATTAGATAGATAGATAGACTAATAATCCCATTTCCCCTTATTAAAATAGGCGGATGCACCATTATATGGTCATATATGAAGAAAAACTATAGACATGTCTACATCGCTGTGTAGTTCCAGCATAAAACGGGCCAAAGGATGGAGGAGGACCTCCATGCGGTTCCCCCTGGAAACCATTGATGTTGATTATTTTTGAATTCGTCGTGATGTGCTGACTGATCTTGTGACTATATATATATATATATATATATATACGATAGAATAATAATAATAGAAGTCCCACTTGATATGAAACCTCTTTATTTAAAGTCGGTTAAAAATCAACGTTGCGTCGTGCGTAACTTTGCTTAAGTGAACGTAAGAATTTTGATGACCCCGACCGACAGCTACACCATGACTTTATAAATCCTTAGATGTAGCCATTAATTAAGGCGATTAGGAAATATTTATGTTAAAAAATGGAGATATGTCATCTAATTATAATTAACCTCCATTTTGGGTTGACGGACGACTCGAGACTACTGTTTACGACACAAGATGACAGACATAATAAATAATACTTTACTAACTCTATCCAACGACTTCGTCTGCATAATATTGTTTTTAAGTGATTTCATAATCGAATTTTTCAATTCAACCGATTTTATTGCATATTTATGTATCTTTGTCTGTTGTGAATCGATTTTAATGATTATTTTTTACCAGCTATATCCTACGAGTTCGCCCGCGTTAATCAGTACGTAAATGAGTCTATGTGCTAAGTTATGGCCTACCCGTGTACCGAATTTCATTCAAATCTGTTCAGTAGTTTTTGCGTGAGAAAGCAACAAACATCCATCCTTATAAACTTTCATATTTATAATATTAAAAAGATTTAATAAAGTCAACTACTTTTATGGTTTCATGCTAGTTTCATGCAAATTTAATTTGGTTATTTTTATTGAAAAAAAAAATTAAATTACGTCTTTCTGTTAATTATATTGTACATACATATCTGTCACGCCTGTCTCCCATTAGGGTAGGCAGAAAGAATGGAACGCCAAATGATTCAAACAGATCTATTTCGCTTCCTCCACATTCATCAATCTTTTCATACATGCTCGCTCTATATGTGTATTTTTAATTTGTTTTTTTTTTCAGCGCGTCGCCTTTATGGGCAATATTGTAAAAATAACAATATGCCCATCCATAATAGCCCATGAATGAAATAACACAACATAGGCCTTTCCCTTTCCCCATAAGATGAGGATCTTTTTAATTAATGGCAATGAAATGGTATCCCCCCCTGCGCTAACGGTATACACTGCCAGGCACCAGTGAGGGATGATAGATAAGAATGAAAAGGCAGGTCAGTTAGTTCATAGTGATAAATACACCTGGAATTCAGTATGATATTTTCCAGGGGGAACCACGTGAAAATCGCCCTGAAACCATGGCCGCAATGGATACTGCGGTGGGTGAATCCGTTCTGATTGTCAGTAATGGGGATTAGCAACCCTATTGCTAACAATAAACCCTATCAAGTCGACCTTGCGGTTTCCCCTGGAAACCATCGTGATTGATTTATTGTTGAATTTGTCATGATGGGCTAACAGACCTGCTTCATCTTCACCTATCATCGCCACAAGTGCCCCTCCAGCGTATACCGCTAGCGAATGGGTTACCATTCCATTATCATCCATTAAAAAAAATGGACGCTGCATTTATATAATCAAATGTTTTATTACAATAAATAGGTATATGTACATGATAGGTCAATTGTTACTCTCGCATAATGAGTACAAAAACGTTGGCAGTTACTGGACTGGTGACGTCACTGCGCACTGTGATTGGTCGACGCGGCGGCGGTACAGCGAAAGTACAAACGGCCAGGGGTCCTGAACCATTGTTGTCGTCACGGCCCCTGATTTGACTACAATCTGTAAAGAGAATTTGATATGGCATTGTCCAACAGAAGGTCGAATGGTCTCCATCCAGTTTTTGTCAACCTGTTATGAATTCCCCAAATATTTAGTTATGAAAGTTGTTTTTCTTCGTATCAGTTTGTTGATTTTTTCATAATAATTCAAAGAAATTGATTGGTTCTCTTCTTTTTTTAGAAATAACCGTTAAATCGATTTCACTTGTTACTACTCATTACTTAAGCTTACATAACAAGTATTGGTATAGATAACTCTTTTATTTATTTATTTATTTATTTAATTCTTTATTGTACACACCAGTTATAAGAATATGACAGAGGTAATCAAATGTACAAAGGCGCGCTTAACTCTAATAGAGTTTTATTTCTAGCAAACCCTAAGTGGAAAGGAGCATCAATGTCAGCGGGTAGAGCGGTGTACAATATCGTGACAATTTTTAAACAAACTAGACAAAATTAAATTAATTACATTATATTTAATCTTATAAATACACATATACATATATATAAATATATACCTACATATATAGATAAATAAATATATGTTCATAGAGATAGAAGATGCTCTTTAAGTCTACTCTTAAAAATATTTAGGGATTGACTCTCACGGATAGATATGGGAAGAGAATTCCACAATCTGGCAACTTGGACGGTGAAAGATCCACTATAGCGCGTAGATGAGTGTGAAGATATTTTAAGGACTTTTTCCATTGTTTAACTATTATTATGAAAGAATATTTATAGTATTAATTATGATACTCTAATCAACCTTTTTATAATAGTCTCGTCATCATCATCCTATCCTATTGTCATCATATATATTGTCATCAGCCGTTAACTGTCCGCTGCTAATCATAGGCTTCAATTGTGGCAAAAGTAATTAAATACAGGATTTAAATCAAAATATTTAAATTCTAAACTACTTAGCAAATTACGATAAAAATTCTACTAATAAGACCAATCTATAAGTATGCCCTTTTAAATAAAAAAGATATTTCCAAATTAGAAAATTGATACCAAATTGAAAAGACTATGAAATGGTAAGTCCGCCTGCGCTAACAGTTTACACGGGCAAGACACCAGTGAGGGATGATAGGTGAGAATGAAAAGGCAGGTCAGTTTTTTTTATACCACTGAGGTGACAAACAAGCATACGACCCACTTGATGGTAAGCGGTTATCGTAGCCTATGAATGCCTGCAATACCAAAGTATTACGCGCGCGTTGCTGACCCTGAAGAAACCTCTTTACCCCCCTTTTGAAGAACCCCATGCTGTTAGTTGACCAGTTATCTCATCGTGATGAATACACTTGGAATTCAGCACGATAGTTTCCAGGGAGGACCACGGGGAGGTCGACCTCATAGAGTATATTGCTAGCAATAGAGCTCTTAGTCTCCATTACTAACAATCCCTTTCCCCAGCATCTCCATGAGCAATATCATCCGCACATGGCTTGATACATGATACACCATACTAACTACTACGTTACTAACAATTTCCCTCCTAGTAAATAACAGTTTTTATTGAAATAAAACAAAATAATACCTACTCTTTGGGTATTAAATATCTATGTACTATCAAAATGTCAAGCTATTAATACTGTCCAATTTATAATGCTATGTAGAACAAGCGAGTTGGTAGTCGAATTAATTGCATTTATGTTAATCCCTTAAGTTACGACATTAATACATAAAACAATAACTTATATTGCTGACTTAATGTTGATTTCACATGGTTTTTATCTGATAACCTTCAAGTTGTTAACAAGTTCACATGCCTTGATGGGTTATTTTATCCACTGATTAAATCTCATGTTACTAATGTTACCACAACGTACTTATGGCGAAGGCAATTCTTACCAGGACAAAAAAATATATCCTAAATTGATATATTACAAATTTTTCTCTTTTAAATTGTCAATAGTTTACATATTCATATATAAAAGTGGTATACTTAGGAGTAACACTATATAAACGAGTTTCTCTGTCCCATTCATTTACTTGGGTACTCTTGTCCCATTCGTATTTCTGCGATGAAGCAGTTGATGGTTGTGTTTCAGTTAGAAGATCTATATGTGGTATATGGCAACGACATAACAGAGTCTGTACTCTGTTATGTCGTTTACTGGGAAGTTTTTTTTTTACTACACAGGGGGCAAACGAGCATGCGGCTCACCTGATGGTAAGTGACTACCGCCGCCCATGATCACCCACAACACCAGCAGCATTGCAGGTGTGCTGCCGGCCTTTTAGTGTGCTGCCGGCCTTTTAATAGTTAAGTCTAGTTCTTAATAGATCAGTAAGAATTGAGTGTTATGTGGAAAGGCTGTCTGAAGAGGATTCAACAACATATTTTCATTCACGTCCAGTCCCTAGCCAGATAGCTGTTTGCGCTAGCTATTAGAGTACTCCAATTGAATCCAGGGATGTATTTTGTGAACGGGAGGAAAAGCTAGAAGCTGAATACATGATCCCTGAAAAGCATATGAAGGCATAACACCTTTAGTCCTCAGGAATGGCGACGCATGAAAAGTATACTGATACTCTCGTTTTGTCTGTGGTACTGTTCATACCGGTAACCACTTTCGATCAGGTGGGTCATCAGCTTGTTTGTCTTTCTAAGTAGCAAAAAAATTGTATTCTATGCCGGGACCACACGACAAATCATAGTAGTAATATCTCTTAAATAACTTTAAAGAAGTCACCAAGTCTATATATTCTTACATCACAACGGAAATTTTACAATGTACGAGTATGTCGTTTCTGACAATTATTGCGACTTCAGCTGGAAATTTTTTCAGAGGGCGTGAATGAGAGACGAGACGCTGTGACGCAAAGCACAGCGCTTTCGTCTCTCATTATCAATTAACAACGTTTGAAAATGCCCCGTTTAGAGGTGAACGACACGAAACGCAAAACATGCGTGGAAGGAATGTGGTCGGTGATTGATAGCTAATTGTCGAATGTTGTAGAACTTCTGGTAATAATAATAGTAGTAAATCTTCGATGTTGGCCAGTCGCACGCATATTAATGGTAGCAAAATTAAACAAAATAATTTTAATCAACTAATTAATGATCAAGTTTTAAAATCACCAAGTGTAAATAGCATAGAGAATTAGAGAGTAGGTCTGGAGTATTATTAATATCAATTTATGGGAGAGATCTCTATTCAGCATTACATGTGACAAGACCAGATTACCAGAGACATTGACTTACATTCCATACACCAACTAGGTCTCGAAGATTCTGATGAAACACGAATTGCCAATCTGCATTTTGATTTAATACATTATTTGAAAGTTATCCATTATAACTAGCTAATAAATATGTTATCCTATATTCATTAGATTCTCAATTATACGCTTAAAATGGTCCCTTACTGTTAATAGTTGATAGGACTGTCTGCACTATGCTAATTTTATCTCCGAGATACGATCAGAGAGACTTGTAATATAGCTAATTGGAATTGGGGGTTGTATTGGCGGACATTTTATGCATAGTCTATTTCAATTGAGCTTAATGAAAAGATAACCTAGTTTTGTTGAAATCACCAAAGAAACACTCTCTATGTGAAATTTTACTGTGCCAATATTCTAGAATTGGTACTTGACAATATGTTTATATGGGAGGTATTAATAAAAGCAAGAGAAGTCAAAACAAAGTTTTTTGGAAATTTTGTCTGTCAATCTGTATATTTGTTCCGGCATCACCAGAGGGAGACTTTGTACAAAAGTCAATTGCTTGGGTACCTCTGTCCCATTATTAATACGTGAAATTTGTATCCTTTTTTTATGAAAATTGCTCGGACAGAGGAGTATGAAATTTGGCACACTTATAATTTATGTAGAGAAAGAGTACAGAAAACTAATATTTTTAAAGATGTGTTCGTAGTAGTTTTCTTCTCTTGTTAATATTGACGGACGACGCCAAAGTATCTCACTGTGCCAATTTATTTGTCTACAAAAATTGCCAGTATATCAAAATTTGTTTATAATGACATCTATGTTTTTTATTGCCCCTGTGTTACCGGTTAGCGGCATTAGCAATCTTATTTCGATGAGTATTATTCTAGTCTCATACTTGTATTCACATTTCAGTCTCGTTTGTTTGTTTGTACCATTTTATTTTACAAGAACACTTATAACACATTATTTTTAAAAAACTTTATTTTCTCTCTCTATTTTCTTTTACTTTTTTTGAAGTACAATCAAACATTGTACTTTTTATTTCAATAATAGGTATTTTTCTGCCTCTTTATCTTTTATCTGCTGTTCTAATTTATCATCATTAAAATTATAGTGGTGTATACACTACATACACTCACTCATACAAACACTTACCTACACAAATATGTATTTTGTGTAGGTAAGTGTATGTGTGTATATGTATGGATAGTACATTTATTGTTTATATCTATTGCCTTTTTATTACATTATGTATGCACCAAATTCTGAAAACAAATAACTATTTGCCATCATCATCATCATCATATCAGCCTTTAACTGTTCACTGCTGAATCCCCTTTTGGGGGTTTTGCCAGTAGTTGCCACGCTTGGCAGACGGGTTGCTAATCGCAGTACGCCATCCCTCGCCCTCCCTTAGTCGCCTCTTACGACAACCACGAGAAAGGAAAGGTGGTGATGGATGTGATCCCGGTATAGAATAGACCATATTCTATGCTAGAACCACTCGGCCCCTATTTGCCATCCTACATAATAAACAAACTATTTTCAATTATATTACCACAACGTTAATGTACCGATATCTTGTGAAAGGGATTCCAAATGGAACGCAGATGCATTTACATCGGTGGGTTTTTTCTAATACAAATTCCTCGCAATCTTTGTCCGTTCTGAATATTCATTTGTTTTCTGGTTTGACGCGAATGACTGTGTTTAATTAACGTCAAGAATCTGCGAGACGTTTCAGTCAACGTTATCTCGGATAAGAACTGTCACTCCATACTACTGGTTCCGTAGACTAGTTAATAGGAAAGA